TAGCGCTCGTCACGTGACGGGAAGCGCCCGCGCGCGCGGTCACCTCCGACCGCGGCCCCGCTGCGGCTCGGCGCTCTGGCAGCCGTGGAGGACCGGCTCGATGCTCCCCCTGGCTTCGCACCCGCGACCACGTGCGCAGCCCCCCTCCACCTGTGTGCGCGCGCGCGTGCGTGTCTCTGCCGTGGCCCCCACCCCCTCGCCCTTGCGCACACGTGGACGGCTCTGCCATGCCCCTCTGCCCACGTGCACGCGTGTTCGTGTCTCTGCCATGGCCCACCCTGCCCATGCGCGTATCTCTGCCATGCCCCCCACCCGTGTGCACACGCGTGTGTCTCTGCCGCGCAGGGAGGACGCGGCTCCGTACAAACGTGGTTTATTAAGGCATTTCGTTGAGACGTTGGCACTTGGGGCCGGGCCCGGGCGTGCGGTGCACAAATAAATAACGGGGCGGCTCCTGCCCCGGGGACCCCAGCAGGGTCCGGCTCCGTTCGGCTCTCCCCGGCCCCCGCTCCGGCGCCTGGCTTCTCGCACGGCCCCCACCGCGGTCATTGCTGCGGGGCAGGCCCTGCTCCCCGGGACGGGGGCTCCCGCCCGTGCGAGGCCGAGCAGTCTGTGCACATCTCCGGTCCGGGCGTGCGGGTGCCCTGGGGCTGGTGGGGGAGGGCGTGAGCGTGGGGAGTGCTGGTGGCCCGGGGCAGGCGTGTGCGTGGGGACCAGCCCCGGCGACTGTCCCGCGCTCACAATGCGACGGCGAGGCCGGGCCGGAGGGGGTGACCCCAGGGACGCCACGCGGGGCGGGCTGCTCTCCTCCAGCCGCGACCCCCGGGCGGGGGCTCTGCAGCTGCAGCAGTCCCAGAGGTGGAGCCCGTGGCTGCAGGGTCCGTTGCCAGCAGCACGTCCCCCGGTCGCAGGCACCGCGGCACGTCCCGGTCCCCGGGGATCCTGGCGCCACGGCACCGAGAGCGTCGTCGAGGCAGCGTCGCCCGGTCTGGATGCCTGCCCCCCACGGAGGTCCTCCCGGCCGGTGTGCAGGGAACCGGGCAGGCCCCGGGGTTGCCGGGACGGGGACGCCTTCCCTCAGGCGGGGACCAGGCTCCTGGGTCCGCACGGCTCTGGGAGGCAGAGCCAGCGCTCGCGCTGCGCAGCACCGAGGCCTCGCGCACCGGACCCCGCTGCGGGAGCAGGCCTGGCCCTGCCTTAGGGTCCGGGGC